CAGGAGGCAGCTGATCGATGTTTCTCTCTCATCGATGTTTCTAACTCTATCCCTCTCCCTTCCTCCCTGTAAAAAAAGTCAATAAAATATATTTTTTAAAAAATCGAGGCACAATGTACATACCATAATAGTCACCCATTTTAAAGTGGATAGGTTGATGATTTTTAATAAATTCACTGAGTTGTGCCACCATCACCACTTTAATTCCATTTTAGGGCATTTGTATCCCCCTCCTCCTAGGACAGTGATGGCGAACCCTCTCGGCGTGTCAGCATTTTGAAAAACCCTAACTTAACTCTGGTGCTGTGTCACATATAGAAATTTTTTGATATTTGCAACCATAGTAAAACAAAGATTTATATTTTTGATATTTATTTTATATATTTAAATGCCATTTAACAAAGAAAAATCAACCAAAAAAATGAGTTCGCGTGTCACCTCTGACACGCGTGTCATAGGTTCGCCATCACTGTCCTATGAGATCCCTCATGCCTGTTTATAGTCCATCCCGTTCCCACCCCCAACCTAGGCAACCATGGATCCTCCTTCTGTCCCTCTAATTTGCCTGGACTGGCTACCTTATACCATGTACAGTCTTTTGTGTCTGGCTTATGAGCAGGAGGTGTTTGAGGTTCCCCCATACTGTCGCCTGTATGGGTACCTCATCCTTTTTGTGGCCGAGTACTATTCCACTGTGTGGATATACCCGGTTTGTTTATTCACTCAGCGCTTGGGGTCATGTGGGTGTGTTCCACTTTCTGGCTATAATGAGTCATGCTGCTGTGACATTCGTGTGCGGGTTTTTGTGTGGACACGTTTTTGTTTCTCTAGGGTAGGCACCCAGGAGACTTCTAAAATTTTTGGAACCTTAGGCGAGTCATCTGACCTCTCTGAGCCCAAGTTTCCCTGCCATCAAGTGGGGGAGACACGTGTCCCGCCCACCAGCACGGGTCTGGCGGGATAAGCAGGGCCTGGCCGCTGTGCAGTTGGGTGATGGCCCCTCCAAAGCACTTTGCCAGTTTGGCCCCATCCAGATGTCTGCAGGTGGCTTCCACTTTGCCAGTTTGGCCCCGTCCAGATGTCTGCAGGTGGCTTCCAAGGGCCCAAGGGGCCTGTAAACGGCACGGGTTTTACAATAGTGGACCCCAGAGGTGAGACTAGGATAGGGGGCGGCTACCCTCTTCCTGCTGGGCCGTGGGGAGGGGCAGGAAGTCCCCGGATGGAGATGTGGGAGAAAGTCCCCACAGAAGGAAATAACAGTGCCAGGCCAGACACCTGAGTGGCATCATGGGGGGTAGATGAGCTGGGGTGGAAAATGGGCACAGGTGGCCAGTGAGGAGGCGAAAAGGCTAGACCGGGGCCAGGGAAGGGTGGTCCCCGTGTCTTAGGTGTTGAGGCTGCCGCTTGTAGGTGGAGAAGGTCGGTAAGCAGAGCATTGACACATTCGGTTCAAGAGCGTGGAGGCAGCTTTGAAGGACAGCTCGTAACGCCTGGAAACTTGGCATCGGGGCGGCTCATTGAGAATTTATGGGAAGCTCTCTAGCTGTGGCTCTCGGGTTGGGAGCCTTCCACCCCTTGTTCCTTTGAACAGGGTAGACGGGTTTTACGAGGTGCATTTCCTGCGGGATCAGGGGCCAGATTTAGGGGAGCTTTTTCTCCAGACACCTGCTGCTGCTGGTCAGAGTGAGAAGGGATAGGTCACTGATCTGTGGACCCTGCTTTGCTCTGACACCCAGGTCCCAGCTCCTGTCTCGAGCAGACTCGTCAGAATTTCTAGGGGGTACACGACTATTTTGAAAGTTATTCAACATGCCTATACTTTTTTTACAACAAAGAGTGTAGAAAATGAAATGTACTTTAAAAACAAAACAAAACACGGATGCTGAGGCACAGAAGATAGGCCGAGAAATAACTGGGGAGGGGAAACTGGAGGTCGGGTTCTAAAAAGTGGAAAAACAATGTTCTAATCAAGATAAAATGACCTGTCAGTAAAGTAGGTGCTGCTGAGTTGTGGGGATCAGTCGAGAAAGCACATTAAATTCCAGGGCCGTCAGGGACTTCATAAATGATGTCTGCTGCCCCTGCTAGGAGGCCCTTCTTATGTTGAAATTCACCATTTGCTAGCTGTGTGGCATTGGATGCGCTGTTTAACCTCTCTGGGCCTTTGGTGACTGCTGTGGTCCCACCGCCAGCTGGCTGGAGGGCTCCGTGTACCTTATCTGCTCCGGGCAGAGCATGGCAGCCCTACATCTTGAAAATTAACCATTGTCGGCGGCCTAGGAGTCTGCCCTTAAAGATTTCTCAGGACCTCAAACTGATGAACTTTTTACAGCAGTTTGAGCTGGACTCCACCTCCATCAAGTTCAGTTCTGGTTTAAACCAACCCTTACGCATTCTCCTTGCCTTTTCCACCCTGGCAGCTCCAAGGGAGGTGAGGGGAAGGAAAGGGCCTGAGGCTGGTGGGGTGGGGAGAGGCTGCGTGGGGGACAGGCGGGGAAGGGGAGCCCCCGCCCCTGGCTGCCAGGGCTCTGTGTTGCTTGGGTTTCAGATTTGGAACCAGATTTTAGGTCACCTTCTGAAAGCTGGAAAATCATGCCAGCGGGTCAGATTTCTCTGAGCGCCTTCCCTGAGATGATCTCTACTTGGGTTTAATAAAATATTTAGAGGCCGATTGCATTTCACTTGCAGCTGCTCCTGAGGTTGGCAGGTAATACAGTCCCCAGATGCCTCGCGTGGGCTGTCACAAAGCCGAACTCTCTAGCATCTTAGTTGAGAAGAGTTAACGAAGAAGTTATTATTTAGCCCGAAAGTGGCAGGTTTCAAAAGAGTTCATACTTTGGCCCTAAATCCGTTTGCATTCACTCCTTCCTCCACCGAATAAAACCCATGCTACCTTCTTGGTGTTTGTCGAACCGCAAATCAGTTCCTTGCCGTGGACTTAAAATAGAACAACCCTGAGATTTTTCATCAGAATAAAGTCCTCTTTCATTGCATGAGCCTTTTTCTCCAGTGGAAGGGAGAACAAAGCCACACCGTCCCAAAGTGGCCTGCACGCAGCCTCCTATGAGCCCAGTAAATTATACATGTTATGAAACATTGCTGTGTGTGTGTGTGTGTGTGTGTGTGTGTGTGTGTGTGTGTGTGTGTGTTTCCGATTCAAGGATCATGTGCCTGGTCTTTCATAAAGGCCAGGTGTGTGTGTGTGTGTGTATGTGTGTGTGTGTGTGAGATTCCGATTCAAGGATCATGTGCCTGGCCTTTCATAAAGGCCAATATTCACAACATCAGAGTTTGGAGTTAGGAAACGTTTGTTGATCAAGAAGTCTCCAGCTTGAGAAGATGGGAGGCAGTTGCCTTAAAGCGTCTGCAAATCCATCTTAAGAGAGCCCAGAATTCAGGCTTCTTTTATGTCAAGGGAAGGGAGCATGGGCAGGGCAAGAGTGTGTGACACCTCGGCACCAACAGGGATCCGAGGAAGAGTGTGAAATTTGTAAATCTCCTAGTTCCCTGGTCCCTTGACCCCTGCTGATCTGTGTCTGGTCTTGAGGCTCCTGCAAATCTTTGCAGAAAGCTCAGCCTCAAGCAGAATACCTCTGTAATTAGCACATCGATAGCAGGAGCTTCTTCCCTGAAGGCCCTGGGAGAAATGCAGGCTGGAATTAAGATGGAGTCAGCGAGAGGGAGCGTTTCACTCGGTTGCATGTGCCTCAGTGATAGTAGAGGTCTTTGGGGCGTGGATTAAAAACCTCTGTCACCCTAGTTTTCATGGTATGGAAACTGGTTGCAAAGCCTTAGAATTTAGGCCATTTGGGGAGGGGGCGGGCTGTGCCATCATGACATGACCAGCTGAGACTGTTGTTTAATGATTGTACCAATAGCTGCTTTCTGAAGGGTCCCTCTCTGTCCCTGGGGTTGGGTCTCTGTGGTTTGTGAGGTCTAGATTCCTGTTGGTCTTGGTGATAATTTTGGTGGCTGTGTTGCTGACCCATTTTAGTTTGCTCAGTTTGTAGGAGGCCAGATCCCTGTCCACCTAGTGCCTTAACCCCAGTACCACCTCTAAGTATGTCACACACCATGTCAAGGCCTTGCAGAAATTTGAGGTCACCCCCACTCCCTCACCCCCTTAGAGCTTCGGGCTCTTCCCTGGAACTGGGAAATGAAACCGGGTGGTACTGAGTGCTGTGTGGGTTGAACTTGGCAAAACCAACATCCCTTTGTGTCTGATAGACAGGCACAGTTTTGAAACTGCTTTTTTAGATGGGTCATTGGTAGTTTCATGGTTGTTCGTTTTCTTTTTTTTTAAATATATTTTATTGATTTTTTACAGAGAGGAAGGGAGAGGGATAGAGAGTCAGAAACATCGATCAGCTGCCTCCTGCACACCCCCCACTGGGGATATGCCCGAAACCAAGGTACATGCCCTTGACTGGAATCGAACCTGGGACCCTTTGGTCCGCCGGACGACGCTCT